TCAATTTCCTTCGGGATTATAAGTGTCAAGCACTTGCAACGATTGCACATCGTACATTTTCCAAAGGTCTGTTGCAAACGCTTGTACACCCCCCTATATATATGCGTTTTAATCCGACTGTCGGCAGTTGCTTTCCCTTTTACATGGCGATTAATGTGGATCGTCCTAGCTGTTGGAGGTCTTGTACCCTGTTAAATAAGCTTCGGATCTTGGTCTGGTAATTGGTTTCGCTTGTTTCCAACCCCCTTTTGGTATTTTTAATTTGGGTTGTTGGTGCCTTGTAAATGGCTGCCTCTTTAATGTTTGCCTTGTGTAAAGAGTGAATTCGAATTGCTAGGGGTGCATCGCGAGTGAAGGATTGCGCGCCGAAACCATGCAGTTAAGGGGATGAGGTTGCTCTCTTATTGTTAACAGGCTAAGCTATATAAGCATATACGGGTTTGGTAATAAAATAAGTAGCTTAATATACGTTACAGATTAGGAATTTGTAGAGAGAGAGGGGAAGCTTTGAGTATAAATAGAGGAATTTCTATTAATCTATACACACGTGTTCAGAGATTTGTAGCATACACCTTCCCTAACTCAAAGATATAGTAGTATGGGACTTGTATACATATATAGGTGTAGTAGTATCAGGATAGAGGTTGATTTGTATAAGTTATTAATGTGTGAATAGTACACAAAGTGTATAGTTTTAACACTGCGATTTATGACTTCAAACAACACAGAATTTGAAAAATCAACTGTTATTTAGTGTTCTTGAAGGGGTTCTATTTTACAACTACCACCTTAGCTATACGATATAAGATAGAGATCTAATTCTGTATATAAATTAAAAAACAAATAAGTAAATACTGTATTTGTCTAGTGTCTTTTTTCTGGATGGAACATGTTACATAACCTATAAAAAAAACTAGACAAACTCATTTTCCCCGTACAAAAGCCTGTACATAGTCGGCATACATTAAATGCCACTCACATTACTCGATGCCATACGTAACGAACGATCAAGCCAGCTACGGTTAACCGACTGTTAACCTTGCCAACAGGCAATGCATCACTCTGAGCTGTCAAAGTGTAGAAAGCGAGCGGATACACTTAACTACCTCATCCGCATTAAGCGCACGAGACGTTTAACCCACATCCCTCCCTGTACATGACTCTTACTTCCACAACGGCTCATCCCTGCTAGAAAGTTAACGGAACACAAAAAATATCCTACCCTTTATAACGTGGTTTTTCCTTTCGAAATTAGAACTGTAGCGTTAAAAAAGGGGGAGGGAAGGAGTGCGAATTTAATGAATTCGGTTAATAAAGCGAAATTTAATTCGTGGGCGTTAATAAGTGCTAATTATCCTGGGTAAATTCCAGCTAATAATGACGAATGGAGAAGGAGGTAGTTCTGCTTCAATAATGAAGGGTGACAGCTGATCGCCGACACGACAATATCTGTGACACATGATGTCATTAATAGTCGTTCGCACCCCCTTCGCCAGCGGGTGCAGAGTCTGCACGTTATTAACCGTTTCATAAATTGTGGATGGAGATGTAACGCCATTTTTACTACCCGCCGTCCCGGATAATTTAATATTTTAATATAGGGACACTTTGGTGACGTTTAAGCTTCCGTTTTATCACCCGATTTTCGGATGCTTCCTCTAAAATCATCCCCTACTTCCCCCTTCGATCACGAGCTTCCGATTCTTAACGTTTCCAACTCGACAGTGTGATACATTTTCTGTTATATACGACCCCCGAAAATGATAGATTTGTTAATGAAACTCGAACCCGTCGTCTCGGACTCCCCCCCAATTTGTTTCCGTAGTGGGAAGTTTGAGAGAATTTTTTTAATTCTTTTCCCACTAGAAATCAAAGTAAACCTCCTAAAAATGTAGAATTTTGGTAGCTTTTTTTTTACACCTCCGTCAAATGGGGGTTAAATCATGCCAAAATTCTCTAGTGTCTTCGTGCTCATTGAGGATTGCTGAAACACCCGATTTAATGGTTTGGAATAGTTTAAGTTTGGACAATTTAAATGAGAATTATACACTCAAAACTCTTTTGGATCCTAAGAATTTAGTAGGATCCTTCATTTACTTACTAATTACTTAAATAAGATCCAGAAATTCCTATTATATTTAATTAAACTTTATTAAGATTATCCTTTTGTTTTTTTCGCAATTTCTCACTTGTTTATCCTCAAGTAAACAGTGGTAAAGCTGAATAAAATTCGAGAGAACTTTCAGTAGGGTTTTTTGCTATTTATCCTCCGTTTGACGGGGGATAAATAACTAAAAAAAAACAAAAAAATCTCGACTAAATTCCATCGAAGAATAACCACGTTTTCTTTCTATTTACCAACCAAAAAATGAAAAAAAAAACCTCCGAAATTTTACGCAATAAATCCGTAACATTTTAGAATTTTAAACACGCCATTACACAAATTTCGTCCGCAGTATCTAAACTCTCCCCCCCAACAAATCCCCTAGTAAAAATGGATTAAACTAGAGGGAAAAAAAACTATAAAAACCTCCAAAAACTAAGCAACTAGTCACGTTTTAAACAAGCAAATGAATAGGAGAAGAAAATAAAAAACTATTAATAATTCACTCACGAAAACCTACTTAAAAATTAATCCCCCGAAAAAAAAACCACCGTCCACCCCCAATCAGGAAGCGCCATCTAGTGAGGCGAATATCGTTAATTTGGTAAGGGGGGTTATTAATTAATAGTAACACAACTCAACGGCTGTTAATAATAAAGCAGCTTATCATCATCAAAGATGAGTGATGAAGTTTCTAATATCATCAGACTTCTCCTCTCTTTTTCTCTCTATATATATATATTTAGTGTTATATATAGATAAAAAGCTTCCCAAAGTCCCCGAGAAGAGGTGAAAAAGCATCAGCAACTAAACAGAAGCACGTACAACGAGACAATAAGCAACAACCACATATCTTCATTCACACGTTACACCTTAATTCGATTTAGGAGCACGTGTCTGAAAATGCTTACCTTCCAACCTTTTGCGCCTCTCTGGATATAAGAGAGAGAAAGTGAGAAGTGGAAGAGGAAAACAGGAAAAGGAAGAGAAAGAGAAGAAGAAGAAGAAGAGGGAGAAAGAAAAAAATAAAATAAAATAAAAATCACGAATATACACTCCTAAGGTTTTTATAAATAGAGATGCACTATACCCTACGGGGTGTAGAAAATAAACTGGTTTTTTGGGGTTTGACTAAGAAATAGATGGGGCTGACAAGAGTCTGATAGATGGTCTCACTCTCAACGTTACTAGTTGAGGAGGTTGGATTATGGATATCAAAATGGTCTCGATATTTGTTGTCAACGTTGCTATGACATACGAAATCGAAATTGATTGCATTTTACTTGGAGAGAGACTAAAAGAGGGGGGAAGATGTAGCAGGGTGGAGAGAGAGTGAGGGGAAGAGAAAAGGAAGAAATGCCTTACTTAGAAAAGTATCAGTTGGGGGAAGCTTTACCTGGTATTTCAAGGTGGATAATGATGTGATGGTTGCACTTTCCAATTCGGGTTTTAACGTATTTGCACCTCCTTTGGACTTATTTTGGTATATATAAATTTTACCACTTGTCAAAACATTTGATGGAGATGAGCTTCCTTCTCCCTCTTTTTTTCTTTTTGGTTAGGTCAAGTGAATTTTTATTTATTTAGTTTTCTAACGGTGATTTTTATTCTCTTCCTCCGGACGGAAAATATCCAAAAGTGGTCGCCGGAACCGCTTCGGAGAAACTGCCGAAGCTCTTCTGTGATTAATCTGCGGTTCCTCTAACGGAATAAAAGCGATTCGAACCCTTAAGAGGCTTTTAAAACCGAAGAGTTGTTAAGAATAATAATAGAAATTTAAAAATAAAACAGTTTTATACTCCTAAATCTTTAAAATCCTTCTAAACAAAGAAAAAAAGCTTGCAGATTGCTTGGTTTTTATGCTTAAAATCAAATAATCTTATACAGATCCCAAAAATCTTTTTAAAACTATTAAATTCTGGGCCAATAATTCTGAATTTTGTGTGCGTGCTTTCTATTTTTATTATAATAATGTCATTGAACTATGGTTTAAATCAATAAGATTGACTTATTGTATCCATATACGGTAAACTGCCTTCTCCTCAAAAATCAGAGATTGTCGTAATTTGAGATAACATTTAACAGGTGACGAAAGAATTACATTAAAAATTCGTTCAGTCGTGTCCCCAGATTTCTGGCATTTGACGATAATAAGGGGAGAAGAGAAAAACAAAAAAAAAAAAAAAATTAAATTAATAATCTGTAAGTTGATGAACAGCAGACTAGGTTGGGCAAGCAAACTGTTACCCATTAGCTAATGAGTTAAAACAATGCATTAGATACAAATTAATCACTTTACTGATGATCTGCTTATTATCAGGCTTTTATCTCGGAAACAAACATCATATTCAATTTTGTAAAATTTACTAAAACGTCCGAGGAAACAAATGATGTCAGACAATGCTTGAAGAAAACAAGAGATGGTCATTGCTTCTTAGGTGACGAAGCATCACAAATAAGAGATTTGAAGGATGTAAGAAGTAATTTGTTAAAATGATATTAAACTCATCTGAAATCTGAGAGATTTTGGCACTAATTATGAACAAAAATGGAAGTTCTTCGCGCAGATTATTACATACGACATCAGATTACGCCAATGTGCATATTTTAAGTTGTTTTTTGAGTGTGGCCGCAACTTTTTTCCGTGGCAAAAGATAACAAATATTAATTTCTTAATAAATTATCTGCTATTATCATAATTAACCTAATCCTATAATTTTTGTTTAACTGATAAGATCACCCCCCAATAAAAATACTTTATCTTATTTATGTTTTTTCTCGTAAATTAAACTAGATTTAATAATGAAAAAACTCTTTAAAAACCAGAAAATGTTTGTAATTTCTGCATTATCTGGTAACGAGATTGGTGTATTTTGTAGGAGAATGAATGCCATTAACTTAACACAAAATGTAAATGTCTTGATAATATTTATTTTATTTGAAAAAGTAAAGGAGACATGCGTACAAAAAATCCAAAACAAATAAAGCTGTAAAATAAAAAGGTTATTAAATTTTTTATACTTGTTAATAATAATTATAAGGGGGAAAGATTTGTATATACCTTTATATTGTTTTCAAAGAGATTTTTCATAAAGCAGATAAAACATCCACAATTCTTTGAATATTTTGTAAATCATTATCCTCCAAGAGATTCTAGAGAGCAATAAGGGTTTACTGTGTTAATACCTAAACAATAAACTAACTTTTATTAAATCGACTTACAGTGAGACGAACGAAATCATGGAATTCCTTTAAGACATTAGTCATCTCTACAAAGTCTCCTGATGATAATTTCTTTTTTATTGTCAAAATATTATGCTAAAATTATAATAAAAAAAAGCATTGAAAATGTGTTGTATAATACCACATAACTGTTTTATGTTATGCTTACTGAATTGGCTTCAATGGCATATCCTAAAATCAGAGCAATATGAGCACATATCATGGTGTGTTCCATGTGATGGTCGGCAGAATGGAAAACTGTAATTAATGACCATAATTTTGTATTAATTTGATAGAAAAATTAATATTTAATACCTCATTCTGACATACCTCTGGAAGCGTTATCATCTAAACTCTTATCGTGACCCGGACTCTGAATTGCGCACTTGTACAAAAGCCTCTCGGTGATTGCTTCTATTCTTTGAGATTCTTTATACGTCGTTTGAAAAAGCTGAAATTAAACTTCGATTTAAAACACTTATAATTAATTATTATACATTTTAACATACCTCAGTTAAAGCTTCCAGTGCACTAACTTCATCTTGAAAACTGTTTACCGGAATCATCACAACTGCATCGATAAATCTGTATAAATTCTCTTTGCTGCATATAATTAAGTTAGTGAGAAATCCTAAAAGCTAGAATAAATAGAATTTTCAGCAGGCTATGACTAAACTTTAAATGGATAAATAACAATAAAATATTTTTATATACCAGTAACATAATGTCGAATTCTTTCCTGAGCAAAGGAAGAGAGATAATGTAATATAGCAAGATATCCATCACTTCGCCATAATCTCCAATAGCCATGCTGCTAAGAACTGAAGAAAAAGAGCGGTTAGAGGAGAGTTTATCAAATAAAAAAAATTACGCAAAATTGAGCAATATTGCCGGAAAAGTAGTTGCCGGAAAGAAGAAGTTGTTTTTAGATGCACTAGATGCTATAATAAAGATATTTTACTTAACATTTTATTTTTCTACAATATAGATACGTCATTTAACAAATTGAAGACGTCGACTATAGACAAGACGAAATATTCAAGAATTTATTGGTATCTTTCTTTAACCTAATACTACCAATTGCGAGCGACAGATGGGACTTTCTCATGCTAGACTATTGTGTAATACGTAATAAAATTTTTCTAAAATATTATTACGGATATGACAATCTTAATGATTCTTTTTATTTCATTTATGAACTACAAAGTTGAAAGAATAAATCATTTAATATATTGTTACCGTATCTTTAAATTTATTTGCTTATTTTTATATCGAAAGAGAGAAATAAATTTCCAATATTCATCTCGGAGAATCACAAATATCTTCCAATTTTTCACGTCCGTCCGTACTTAAGACACGGCCGATTTTTATATTTTTAATTTTTCGAATTCTAAAATTTGATTTTCGATTTATTAGACGTTTATTCTTATAAAATATTTAATAAGTTACCGTTTTTGTGAGTAATATTAACTAATAATTTCAGTATGGCGGAGAGACAGGATAGATATACTTTTGCAGGTACTTTCTTGAAATTCTGTCGAGAGAGTTTCCTGCGGCAAAACTGCAAGATCCTGCAATGTAAATATTAATTATTTTTCTTTTAAGATTGAAAGAAAATGTTTTTTTTTTTTTTTTAATTGAATTAAGTTCTTTAAAATTAATAATTACCTGACTATATTTTGTAAGAGAACGGCATTTTTGTAATTCAATATATGAGTCTGATTATCGGGATTTTTAAAAATTGCCTGAAAGAAAATTCATTTATATATTAAAAATAATTTATTTTGAAATACTTTAAATATTTATTCTTGTTTTATATTACAGTAATCATATAAAAAAATCAATATCAAACATTTTAAAAACAGAATTTTAAATAAAAATGAAGGAAATTCCTCTCGAAAATATAAAATCCTTGAGTGATGTTTAAGTTTCGTGTTGAAGTCAGTAAGTGTTATAGAGTTGTTTTTTCCTTTCTTACAAGAAAAAAGAAACTCCATAATAATAACAAAATTACACTATATAAGAAGAATCATTTAAGAGCAACTGTTAGCTATTCTGCTCCAAAATTTTCCTTATTCTCTTCTGACAAGGCCTGAAACACCAAAACACTTGGTCTTGTTTTTTAAAAGGTTCTTCCTATTTCTTATAACAAACTTCATAATCTATACTTAATCACATACAA